GCTTCTGACAATGTTCACTACTCTTTATTTACTTATATTTTGGAAAAGCCACAGTATTGTTGTGTATTTGTCTCAGAAAAGCAGTCTATTCTCCCAGTGAAAATGACCTATTTCTGTTGTTTGCTATTTCTAAATACTTAGCAGGATTTTTTTCTCTCTCTTGTAGTCAGCAGTCAGCAGAGGATCTGGCTCGAGTACCTGCCAACTCCACTAGCAACATCTTGAACAGACTGTTGGTCAGTTATGATCCCAGGATAAGACCAAATTTCAAAGGTTTGTATCCACCCCCTCAAAAAAAAATCCTTAATTTTTTACATTTCAAAAATTAATTTTATATGTATAAAATCATTCTTTGTGATATTCAAAACAATGAGATTTCAAGTTGACATATAACTGTCATGTAATATGCTTAGGGTCAGAGCAATTTAATGCCCAAAATATTCAAAGTTAAGTGAAATATCAATTCTAAAGTTTTATATGGTTACCAATTTAAAAGATTCTAATAAGGTATACTGTGAATTAATAGGCTAACCTCTGTAATGGGTTTTCTAAGTACTGAGTATTCTTAACCTTAGTGGTTTAAAATTTAGACTCTGGAAATAAAACTAGCTTTCATTCACAGACACTAGAGTTAAAATTTCTATAACAGAATGGCCATTTACTCATTTATGGAAGGAGAAGAGTTCTTGTGTGTACTTAGATTCTTTCTTACTTTTTGTTTGTAATTTCACATTGATAAAAAATTCTCTCCATTCTTTTGTTGAAAAAAGATGGCTATATGGTTTTTAAAAACACATTAGCTTTGTGAATAAAAAGTGACTGTGTTCTACAACATACGTTATTTTTATTCCAACAAAATAGTACCATTTATCATACCTTTCAAGAACAAAACTTTATTTACAATAAAATAAATATCATGAACAGATTGTATAGTTGTATAGATCTTTTTTGTTTTTGTCCTCTTGACGAATTAGAAAAAAGCTGTATGAAAAAAATCCCTTCTGGAAAACGGTAATCCTTGTTGGTGGTTAAGGACAGGTATTAATGTAGATCAGGTTAACATTATAAGGCTTGATTTTTTTTTTCCTTTACAGAAAGAAAGGTCTGCAGCTGCTTCTAGTCAACTGAAGTTATACAACTATGTTGTAAAAATGGGTTTCTGTTCATTACCAGGACCTATTCAGTTACTTTCAACAACAGCCATGGTCTGGGTTGTCACATGTCTACCGTGTTCACCACCTGTTTTTCATCAGTAGTTATGTGGCTAAAAGGCTAAATTCACATTTTCCCTTTGTTAGCCCAACCAGCAGCCACAATGAGTTGAAAAAAGAAGAAAGAAAGAAAAAGAAAGAAAGAAAGAAAGAAAGAAAGAAAGAAAGAAAGAAAGAAAGAAAGAAAGAAAGAAAGAAAGAAATTT